AAATGAGTTATATTTTTTTGACGAAAATTTAGATCAAACTGTAAAATTATAAATCCATTATCTATTATGTTTTCATAACTGAAACTCCAAAATAACCCGTTTCCCAGATTATCCCGAGGAATCTCGGTTTTATATGCATCACAATTAATCAAAATCCCAGAAAATTAAAGCATGGCCAAAAATTATTAGATTTTTTTAGTTAATCTTTCGCAGATGAAAGAAAATATTCAGTTTTTAATTACTAAATTTGCTAAGTTTTGTATGAGATAAATTTTTTTGAGACACAAGATTTGACAAGTTTTGTATGTTGGGCGGCAATTCCACTTATTCACCGAGTATTATAAAAAAAAAAAATAACAAATCGAACTGGAAATCTTGCAATCCTCGTATGACGTCATAGTAGTTCAGATTAGTGTAAATCAATGCATTCGTATCATTAAGAGGAAGTTATAAACACCTCATATTGTACTGCCATCTGCTGATAATAGAGAGAACCTCAGTCAGGAATAAGATGAATAAGAAATTAACTTTTTTTTTATACGGATTATTCAAGTTTCTGCTCAATATTGCTTAAAAATAGTGGTTGTTGAAAAGGTAAAACATTTAAAAACAAATAGTTTTAATTTTTTTTAATAATATTTTTGAAATTAGTGATTTCAGGAGGATAATACGGCATCAAAAAGGTATATATATATGCTTTTGTTTCGGTTTTTTATGGTTAAAAAAAAAAAATTTTTTTTTAGATTTTGCAGTTTTTTTTTAGCTTTGTTAAAGAAGAATTTGAAATAATTTTATACATATTATTATTAACTGTTCTTGTTTAACAGAATATTTCAGTAATGATGAAAATATTTCAGAAGAGATATCAGTTACTCTTTAGGCACGCAAATAAAATATAATGATTTTTTATTATTAAAATTATATTTTTATCGTTTGAGTTAAAATATCCTTACACATCAAAATAATTTCTTTGAAACATGTGTTTTTCCCCTCAAGGCTAAATTTCTTTTAGTTTAAAAAAAACTTAAATGTCAACATCTTTAAAATACAGTGCCAAAATTTTTGTTTTGCTTTCAGTTAACTGAACACACATCATACATAGATCTTTTTAAAAAGAAATTTGAGCTAGTCTGGAAGCCATTTATGTTTTTAAATGTCAAAGAGCAGCAGCAGTAGGGCTTTACAAATTTTATTCACGAGTTAGCAATATTTGTTTATTTGAAATATTCACTTTTGCGTGAAAACGAAAATAGTCAACGCATTAAAAATACATAAAACATATTACTTTAGTTTTTTTCTTAACTATAAATTTTGCAACAGGCAAAATAATTAGTCCATCAATTATATTAACATTAGAAAGAATGGTCATTCCTGAATACCATGAAAGTCTGAAGAGGCCAGTGTGTCCCTTCCAAAAATCTTTGCCTGTAGATAGTTTAGACATTCAAAATATTAAAATAAAATGAAACTAAATTTAATGAAAAAACATTTTAGTAACACTTGATCATCAAAATTACATGGTATTTTATTTGATTCGGCTAACGAAAACATTTGATTATTAATATTTTTTTCATAGATAATTTGGCTTCCTTTTCTATTTAAATAATAATTACACTGGAGAACAATCTTTCTTGTTACAATTATATAAGTACGTGGATGACGCCTAATTCGGGCGAAGAAATTTAAAATCTGAAATTAGATTTGCACCATTTTAAATTTACAAAATTATTTAAATATCATTTTAGTTTTTTTCCATTAAAATATACAAGTAAAAATCGTGAGATTTAACAGGATATCACATAAACTTTACGACAAAATTGCAGTCTAGTTAGGATACATCATCAGGAATAAAAGTGTGTATCAACGACAAGAAATGTCATCATTCACAGCTACAGGAACTCCCAATTATGAACTGTTAATTCGTGTGTTTCTGAAAAGGTCAATATACACAATTTTGCTCTATACAATTTTAAGCTTGGTGACTTGTCTTAACTCTCTTGGAAACTTGCTTCGACATTAATGTTATTCTCTATTACATATAACGATTTTAAACTAGTACATTTTGACAGAAAAGTAGTCTGAAAATGTCATTAAAAAAACTCTCTCAAATCAGGTCCGTTCGCAACGCTGTAGGTCTAGTTTACGGCAGAGAAATCTCCGCTAACTGAAGATTTCCCCTGTGCAAAATGGTTCTCGTGCATGCTAAATCTGTCGGGATTACAAAGTCTTCCAAGTTCTCATAACAAACTAATATCTTTTTGGGAGCTATGGGGGCTCAAGGAGCAGAGCGCTCACCCTCCAAAGAGATGAACCGGGTTCGAATCACGGCGTAGGCTGGTTGTTTCGAATTCCACACCCGGCTCACGCCGACCGCAGTGCTGATTTAAAATACCCTCAGTAGTAGACGGATCATGAGTTAGATTCCCTTTTTCGTCAGGCTAACCGTGAGATGTTTTAGTGGTTGTAACACAAATGCGGGTTACTTTCATCAAAAAGACCTCCACAAAGGCAAATTTCTCCCCTATACTTGATCCAAGAATTTGCTTGTCCTCTGGAATGGGTTCAAAATTACAAGGATCTGAAGTTGAACAGTTGCAGTCGTAAACCCAAAAATTGGCTCGACTGTTCGATGATAGTTATAAATTAAAATATTTCTCTAGCACAAAAAGTATATTTTCTGATTCCAAGACAATTTTAATTTCCTGATAAACTGACCTAATTTCTATCGTACCTAAAATATTTATTTCTTATGATATTTTGGAAGCAAAGAGATAATATTTAGAATTTTTAATTAAAGTAGTTAAAATAATAATGTCATACTTTTGGATGATTTATGGTTAGGAAATTCAAAAACGTCAACAAATGCCAAAGATGTCTTAAAGACCGTATCGAGATTGGAATTTTATTATTAATCAATTTCAGTTTTTTTTTAAATTATTGGGGCACTATCTATTGCGTAAGACAGAAATTTCAGTCAAAATAAAAATTTTGAGGGAAGTTCGCACCAAAATATTACTCTCTCGAAGTTACATCAGGGAAACTTTTTTGTGAGATCAGAAACATTTCTAAATCACTTCATTTCCTGTTTTTTTCATAAAAAAGTATCTAATTAATCTCTTTTAGAAAACAAGACTCCTGAAGTATCAAATTCCCTAAAAACAATAAAATAAACATTTTGTACTTTTTTTTACAAAACCAAATTCTATAGACAAATAAAATATTTTCAAGATTAGAAATTTAATTGCAAACTAGATGCAGTGCATTTTTGAAGTTCTGAGTTGAAACAATTTACTTGACAAAATACTTCACATTTTCTAAAACAAATCTCTTTTGTTAAACACATTTATCCATTAAAGTGTTTTACATTGGCAGGAAGAGTTTTTACTTTGTCTTACAATGTAATCTGATTCTTTTATGTTCAACTAAATTATTTCAACATCCTTTATTCATGTAAAAGAGGTTGCAATGAAAGTCAACAAAATGAAGGTAATAAATAAATAGAAAATGCTGTTTTCGGTGTTTTGCATTTTAAAACAGAGTAAATGAATTCAGTTTTGTATACATTTAAATTACAGTTTTATTAAGTTTTATTAGTTCTAACCAGTTTACGAAATGTAGCGCATATTCCTAATATCTTGCCTTCTTTTATTGCTAGAGGCAATGCATTTGGTAAAAGCTAGGTTAAATTTTTTAATTTAATCATTTTTACTTTCGTTTACAGTCAAGTGCCAGATGGGCATTAAGATGCAATCTACAGCTAGATTTTTATTCATAACCAACGTCTGTAAATTAAATATATGAGAATAATTATAAGAATTTTTAAAGTGTTCATTCTTGGTTGGTCAAGCAACTAAAGTATGGTGTTTAGAATCTGTATGAGTCTATTTTTGTCCTACAAAAGTTTTTTTAATTTGGTATTTAATATAAAATATATATTTTGGACATTTGACATTAGTTAAAATCATTAAGACACATAATTTAAATGCTCAGATTGACTTAAACGCTGTAAAAACTATGGTGTAAGAACTCTTTGAATTTGGTGTTGAAAAATTGAAAAATTTGTTTAAATTATTACTTATTTCAAGTTAATACTAAATAGAGCGTTCATACATACTTTAAAGGGTGAAATTAAGCCTTAATACAAATTATTGATAAAGCTCTGATGTTTTTACTCATGTCATTGTTGGCAACAGTGACGGCGGAAGAGTTGTTGGCGTTTTGGAGAGTTCCGCAAATTTTGGAATGATTTGATTTGTGATAGAAGTGATATCATCGATCATAGAAAATTCTACCTATACATCATGAATGAGTTTTCTTAATTTTCAATATTATTTTTGAAACTTCTGAGCTTTTCGAAGCTGAGCGAATATCGAAATCTAACTAATCTTAGATATCGACACCAGTAACGACGATAGAGCAAGTTCCAAGATTATAGTCAATTATTTGTCAAGTAATTTCAATCATATTTTCCGATTGAGCTGAAAATCTGATCATGGTCTATTTAATAACAAGTAAGCTTTAATCCTTGTTTACTGATTGATTGCAGTCTATTATTTGATAAGTATTTTCAATATTCTTGTCGGAATGATTTGACCAGCTACTCATATAAACTGTTGTAACGTGCATGTATGTTATTAAATCTATGATAAAGATATATATTTTTTTACAAGATTTATGTACATCTGTCAATTGTATTGAATAATGTTATAATATTTAACTTCTTTTCACTTCGGTTTTGAAAAGTGCAGTTGGAATTGATATTAATATTCTCTCTGTGCAGTGTGTATGTTTGAATAACAAACTAATTACTGTATCGAATCATCCTAAGTTAATTATTTTTACTTTATACTGAATCATAAAAATAACTTTACTGACTGCTATGTGTATCATATCTTACAGTAACTACAAATTTTAGCGCTACTAAATAATTAGTTGACCAACGTCCTAGCAAATTTAATTAACAAATAACATGTTTCTAAAATAAACATTCGAATACTCACCTCTTTACCTTGACCCTTGAATTATTTCTGTAAGAGTCTCTCTGCGAAGAATATATGTTCTCAGAATATTCAACTGAAAAAGTAAGGCAATCAGTTTTTAAATATCCATTTAGAAATGTTTCTATCAGTCTGGATAACGTAGGGCGTTGTGCCCATGTCTAAGTAGTCGTGAGTTCGATCCACGCTGGGCGAAAACTACCCGTGTACAAAATGGTGTCTGCTGCATATTAATCTATCGGGGTCACAATGTGCTCCAAGTTTCTATAACAGATCAATACCTCTGTAGGAGCTCAAGGAATAGAGAGCTTGCTTTCCAGTGAGGTGTACCGGGTTCGAATTCCAACAATGGCTGGTCGATACGAATTCTCTGCACCCGGCTCTCACAAGGCTGACTTAAAAAATCACCAGTGGCAGGCGGATCATGGTTTTTTCCTCTCCATATAGCGCAAATGTGGGTTAGTTAGATCTGAAAGTCCGCCACGAAGGAAAATTTATCCCAATACTTGATCCGGGAGTTCCCTTGTCTTCTGGCTTTTGTTCAAAATTGCATGGCTACAGATTTGAACATTGCTAGTTGTTAACTCAAAATTGGGTCTGCTGTTCAAAGACGGTTATGAAATTAAATACCTCAGTAGGTATTGGATTGGAAATTGATCGTACTCTGGCTCATGCTAAAATTACGATCTGCGGATGGCTGGATGGCGTGCGCATTTGTGTGTGCAGAAATTAAATTCTTGGCCATATGTGGCGCTACTGAAAAAAAGGAAGAAGAGCACTTTTGTATTAAAAAGTGGCATAAGAAAGCAGCAGCTATTAGTTTTGGGAGGGCGCTGGTGAGCTTAGAAATTACGGCTACTTTACGCCAAGTAAAAGACCATTCCTAATGCTTCACCATGAACTATCCTTGGTTCTTGTTTTAGTGAAAAACATCTTTTGTGTAAAGTAGTTGGTTATTAGGTAAATCCACTCAGTTATAGTTTTAAGATACGATACTTGGTTTTAAGATACCAAACTCCAGTCCTTGGCTGCCCGTTTTACTGACCGCTTAGTGCTTATCACCGTCGACTTTAACGCTAAATCACCTATAAGGGTAGGGAGCACCGTGCACCGGTCTGGACCAGTGCTACAATTTATCAATCAATTTGATCTTATTATTTTGAATGACCCAAATTCTCCCCCTACCTACTGTACACCTCAGGGTCAAAGCTGGATTGATCTCATGATCACTAATGATACACACTTTAGCCACTATAGTGTTGCAGACATCATTACTGCCTCCGACCATGAGCTCCTCACTTGCACCTACACACCCGATACAAACCCGCAAGCCTCTTATAACCAAAACAGGGTACCACGTTATCATTATGGTAAATTAAATTGGATTACTCTCAAAATCGGCCTAACAAACCTATCAGAGCAATATGACCCTAATACAATAAACGATAAAACGGAACTGGAAGCTTTCACCACTGACGTCACGAGTGATATCGCAGCTATTTGTGGAAAGGCAAACCGCAAATCTAACGGTCAGAAAGGGAAAATAAATAACTACTGGTGGACTGACGAATTAGCGATAGCTAGAAAAAGAGTGAGAGCCATGAGGCGGAGGTTCCAAAAATGCACGGAGCCTGCTGGAAGACAAAAATTTCTAATTGATTATAAATCAAGCTTAGCAAAATACAGAAAGCTGATTAGACTTCAAAAAAGAATAGGGGTCAAGAAATATGTCGACAGTTTCACAACAGAGTCGGCTTTTGGGATGCCATATAAGATTGCAAAAAACTTGAACATCAGATCACAAGAAAATATCCTTACCGTCACTAGTGATGGGAACGAAACTTCCGACTTCAAGACCTCAATTATTAACATTCTGAACCATCATTTTCCAATGATACATAATCCAGAGGTTGATATCAGACTCAGTGGTACTGAGGAGGACGAATTCACTGAACCCGAAATTGAACATGTCATCAGATGTCTTAAACCTAACAAATCTCCTGGTCCTGACGGCATTCCAGCTGAGGTGTACAGAGAATTATACTACTGCAATAAATCTTGGTTTAGGGCAATCCTCAACAAATGCTTTCAACTAAGAATTTTCCCCACATGTTGGAAAACCGCCCTGGTATGCCTTATCCCAAAACAGGGAAGGGACCCCCGACTACCACAGAGCTATCGACCTATCTCCCTGCTCTCTACCTGGGGAAAAATTTTAGACAAACTATTAACAGAACGTCTAGTATATTTTCTGGAATCCAACAATAAGCTAAACCCCAACCAATATGGCTTCAGGA